CAATGAAGCTGAGTGTTTACATATTTGCTCTATCTATCCTATACACATCTTCCTGAATTTTAAAAGAACACAGAACATAAATCAGTCCAATGAGCTAAATCAAAACTACATAGAAAATGAACAAGCATAAAACAGAATTTAAGGTCCAAAATAACTTGGGAGATCAACTGAATGCTGTGCTTTTGATTAGAAGAAACAAGCCAGAGAGAGAAGTGGTCTTACCCAAGATATAAAGCAGATTTGAATTATGTAGCCCAAGTTTTTGCACACTAATTCTGCATACTTTCAGAAAGCAGCTGACATTTATTGAGCACTTTATATGTGTCAGGCACTGTGCAGCATGGTTACTGTGGAGGTGAGTATTGTTGTTAACCCATGTACAGATGAGAAAACTGAAGCATAAACATGCCCAAGGACCAAGGTTAGTATGAGCCCAGATTTGAGTTTAGCTGTAGAGAGCATTGTACTCACAATTTTGGGAGTCATCATGTTTGCATAATATAGCTTCCCATCCAATAGGCTACAATCTTAATAGACACTATTGCTCTCTATTAGATATAATTGGCTTCCATTACAAAACAGTTCACTTCCTGGATCATCTTACTTCAGATACACTAGGAAGCAAGCTGTGTTCCAACTAATGAGGGCAGATATGTGAAATATTTAAAGACAGGAGAGCTGAGGCAAATCAATCAAAACAGACACTAGTCCAAATAGAATAGAGATTGGCAGTAGACCACAGGAATGCCAGTACCCATTGATATTTGCCAAATAGCTGTCCTGAAACCAATTAAATCATGCAGTCAAGGACTGAGAAAGTATTTTTTCTCCATCATCAAATATCTGAAGTTCTGCATTTATTGAGCAAGGAAAAGACATAAGTAGAAAGGAAAATAAGGCCATAATGAGTGAATTGCTTTGAGACTATTAACTACCACAAAGTGTACAGAAATTACACAACATAACCCAGCTGAAGAGGGTGCATGCCTCTTAATAACAACCAGATTACAAAGTTAATAGTGATGCTGATTGCAAAAAGTAACTGGATGACAGGTGGCAGACTACTGCATCTGCATAGCAGAGACAACATTAAAATGTTCTTCCATTTGACTGCTACCATCCCCACTCTCAGCAAACCACGTGTGGATTTAGATGTCATATTTGGTGGTGTACTAAAATAAAACTGTGTCTTACTTAAAATTATAGATTTCTGAAACAGAAAACCAGAAATAGATTACTTTTTTTTTTTTTGAGACAGGGTTTTGCTTGGTTGCCCAAGCTGAAGTGCAGTGGCACAATCAGAGCTCAATGTAGCCTTGACCTTCTGGGCTCAGGTGATCCTCCTGCTTCAGCCTCCCAAGTATCTGGGACTATAAGCACATGCCACCATATCTGGCTATTTTTTTTATTATTATTTAGAAAGAAATGTGATCTGGGGTCTGACTGCATTGCCCAGGCTGGTCTGGAAATCCTGACTTCAAGCGATCCTCCCACCTTGGCCTCCCAAAGTGCTGTGATTGTAGTCATGGGCCATTGCACTCAGCTTATCTTGATTTTGTTTTTAGCATTTTGATTTCCAATGCCTTCTGAACGCTCATTCCTGATGCTCTTTTGATGTCCACCTATTCTGAATTAATTTTCAGCAATAACCACACCTATATGTACTCTACCGACTGGATAGAATATATGCTACATTATAAAGAAGTCTGTTCTCTTTCTGTTCAACAATGTTTTTCAATGATCCCACTTGCCATAAGAAAAAAGCCCCGCCATGGTTGTGTGTTATCTATCCTATGACGCCTCATCTTCCCCAGCTTTTCCCCCAGAAAGAATAGAAAATAATGAAACATTTTCCGACACACTTGTCTTGATAATGGCTGTGTAAATTATTGAGTGTTATGAGGAATTTTGTATGCTAATTACCTTTAAATCGATCATCTCTACCTGCAACTCTGATCTTAATACATGAGAAATCTGGTGTTCATCATAAAAAGGTGGCAATTTGTCACCATGTGCTTGTGAATTACATCTGCATGAAACATACATGGTGCTTAATGTCATTTATTCAATGTATATGCAGTGCCAGATACTGTGTCAACTACTATACATGCCTTTAATTTTGACAACCAGCATTTGAGTTAGACATCATTGTCCCCATTTTAGGAAAAGTACACTGATAACCATAAAGTGAAAGTTATTGCCAAGGCCAGTTGGCAGGTCAGTGGCTGAAGCAGGACTCCAAAGTCGTCACCTTGATTTCCAACTGAATTTTTAGTAACTACCACTCTCCACTCCCTTCTTCTTTATGGGCATATGATTTCTAGGAAATACTATTTATTCTCATGGCAATAACAAAGATAACACAATGTGAACCTTTAAATGATATTTGCTATATTTTTATATGGGATATGACATAGTGAATAATGACTGTCACTTTTGATTTTGCTGATGAAAACGAAAAAAAAGAATCTCTCTCAGCTTTCTACATGTGAAGAATTCATTTTGGCTAGCAAACTGTCAAAATGTTTAACTGTGTCTACTTGTGCTTTGTGGACTTTTCATGATGGTGATATTTTGTTGCAAGGTGATTTTTAAAGATATCTCTTTGTATGCTTTTCTGCAAGCTGGTTCAGTTTTGAGATTGTCTCTGATTTATAACAAGGATGTTCTTGGCTGGGTGTGGTGGCTCACACCTGTTATCCCAGCACTTTGGGAGGCCGAAGGGGGAGGATCACCTGAGGTCAGGAGACTAGCAGAGTCAACATGGTGGAAACCCTGTCTCTACTAAAAATACAAAACACTAGCTGGCCATGGTGGTGGGCGCTTGTAATCCCAGCTACTAGGGAAGCTGAGGCTTGAACCTCGGAAACGGAGGTTGCAGTGAGCCGAGATTATGCCACTGCATTCCAGCCTGGGTGACAGAGTGAAACTCTATCTCAAAAAAAAAAAAAAAAAAAAAAAGAAAGAAAAAAGGATATTCTTCAAGTCATAATAATTGTTCTCTCAGCACACCTTGTGAACGTAGACATATCGTGATTCCATCTAAAGCTTTCAAATCAGATGTGTGGCTCCTAAATAATCAGAAAAACAAAATTTCTCTTAAAAATGTTGATGCGTAATCAAGAGATTTTTAACAAAATACATATGTTTGGGGTTTTCTTATACAATGCATACTGTGGTGTTTGAGCAAGGCTAATTTTGCATAATTCAGAACTCCATAGCTCTTTCTGATTTTTTTAAAGCCCTATGGCAATAAGAGACTCACAGTGTGGCTCTTGTCCCCTAGCTGGGTACCTACCAGGGCCTGGGCGTGGCTCTCAACACTGGACGAAGTACAACAATTTACAGAAGATGTTCTCTTTCTCCAGGGGCCCCAGTGTATAGGCATGAAGCAGACTCACAAAAAAATTACAATCCATAGGTGCTAAAAATGAAAGTATTTTAAAGTTATATCAACTGCACAATGGGGTCAGGTGTGATTCCAGCAGCTTTAGAAGAGGGGCATTTGACTTGCATCTTAAAGGAAAAATATGTCATCAGGCAAAGGAGAGTGTCATAGGATGAAAGACCTTGAGCAAATACATGGTGGTTTGAAGGAGCTCGAGATTCCAGGAAGATAAACTGAAAGGATTTTGTTTGCTCATATCAAATATGTATCTAATCTAGAGCATGTAATGGAGTAGAAGGCAATGCTGGAAAGGGATGTCAGGGGCAATGTATAGTTGGGTACATATGTCACACAAAGAGTTTGAATTCTATCTTGCAAGCAATACAAATGCATGTTTTGAAAGCACTACAGTATCATACTCAGGCATTCTTTATAGATTATGATTACCCTTGGTCCTTCAATGAGTTGGAAAGGCTAACGTAGGAAAAGACTCAAGGAAGGGTCTTAACCAAGTCAGAGTCGGAACGAAGAGGAGAAACCACAGTTGAGAGACCCTTCTAGTGCTGGAACTAGCAGAATCCTAGGCTGATTATTTAAATACAGCGGTGTGAGTGCTCAAAGAAAGCAAAGAGGCAGAAATAGCCCAGGCCGCTGTTAAAAACCAGCAGCTTCCAAGAAAGATTTTTGATATGCAAAATTTAGCTCCCCTGGAAAACATTCTTATTCAGCACCAGAATTTACCAGGCCTTGGTACATATTTGTTGAATGAAATCAAAACTAAACCAACACAGGCCTATCCTATCCCAACGAGGGAGTTTAGAAGACTTTCTGAACCAGCATAGTTTTATATTAGGAAAAGAGTGCCCAATAGGGAGGTTTATTATGTCATTGAAATAATAAGAATTACCCTAAGGATATATTGAGGTTATCATCTAGTTTAGACTTCACACCAAAAAAAAAAAAAAAAAAAAAAGGACAGATATGACTACCAGTTGGTATGTGTGTGCTAAAGCAGCATACAGTTTAGGGTATTACCATGAAAAGCTTTTGTACCCTTAACTTTCAGTAGAGCCAATGAAAATAAAGCTTATAAAAAAATAGGAGGAAAATACAGAATTGCCCTTTTTAGTCTTCCTAAAAAAAAAAAAAAAAAGAAAAGAAAGCTTATATAACATCCCCTAAAGCACAGTCTTTATCTATGCTATGGAAAAAAATAAGAGCATAAATTCAGAAGCCCGTTTTCTAATGCCCTAATAGAGTGTGACATATGTGCTTTTTCAGCAGAATCTACAAAATACTTAGAGCAACATCTCAAGTAGGAAACAAATTTGTTACTAAAAATAACTCAAGACCTTTTAATAGTTCTTTCAGCTCACCCTATGGGTATAGACATAACTTGATTCCAACTGAAACATTGAAATCAGATAAAAGTGCAGCCATCAAATCACAAACAGAATTTTTATAAAAAGTAGTAATGGATGACCAAGGGTTTCGAAAGACAGAAATTTTGAGGTTTCTAAAATGTTCCCTTGATTTGCCACAAATAATAATATATGCATCCAATGAGAAGTTATGATAGCTCCATCATGAAAAATCTGAACGCTACTATGTCTCAGGTATACTCTATTAAGAGGCAGAAAAACAATTAGGAGTCCATAGAGTCATGCTAAGGGGTAATTCCCAACTCTGCCATTGACAGGATTTGTGGCTATGGTCTAATCACTTAATTTCTCTTGAAGCTATGTTTTAAAAGCTATGAATTAAAATAATGCATCTTACAGGGTTATTTTGAAGGCAAAGTCCAAACATGTATCAGACAGTTTGCACGTGATCTTATATAAACATAGGTTGTTAGTAATCATCAGGTGCCATTATCACTCTTTTAGATTGATTTCCATTGTGATGCTTAATAAAAATATAAGAGGCTGCATGTGTAATTACCAAATACAATTTCTAAGTTTTCAAATACTTGGTGGAAATTTGAAAATTTAATTCAAATTAAATTCTGTCTTTATCGATGTACTCTCTCATTGCTGCATCAACTAAAAAGCAAAAACATGTAATATATGAAAGATGTGTCAATTTTACCAACAGGTAGAAACATCTTTTTTGTCACCTTAGATGTCCTGTTCATTTAATGATGTAAAGTGATTACACGGGCTCTGAGACACTGGAATGCATTAAGTGTTTATTACCTGATCTGTGAGTTCCTTAATGGCTCACAGACATTTTTCCTCTGAATACCTGGAAGACCCTAACATAGTGCTGTAGAAAGTAGATAAATAGTAAATATATCCCATGAAGAGGTTTCTTCAGGGACATAGTGAGGGAGAAGATATGCTTGATTTGGCTAAGAACACATTTCATTATTCTGTGAGGTCTCTGAACTCAGCCAGTCACTAAGCTTAGTGTTTGGAACAGAGTAGGCAGATGCTAATCAATTATTTTGAATTAATGTTGGTATATTTTGACTAATGGTTTAGTCTGCATAGGATAAAGTCTGTAACTCTTGGCAAAAGTACCCAAGAATAGCATGGACATTACTTTGGATAAAATTTAGACACTACATTTACCCAAATGTAATATGCATTACCTGTTAACACTGTCTTTTCATAGTCAGTGTTCCAACAGAGATTTTACAAACAAGTAATAGTAGCTAACTGAAATCTCATACATTTATTTCTTGATTCAATCTCTGTCAAATATATTATTAATGAAATGGCCAAGGGGGGCTAGGAAACAGAGTTCTGAAAAATCATATGAGACTAATTAGAATTGAACCTGAGGATATGAATAGATACATTTCCATGCGTGCCTATTGAAAGGATGTATGGATGTGCTATAAACAATTCTGATTAAGAAAAGTACTATGAGAATTCTTAAAGAAAACTAACATTTAAAACCAATAGTGTGGCTGGGCATGGTGTCCCATGCCTGTAATCCCAGTGCTTTGGGAGGCTGAGGCAGGATGATCGCTTGGGTCCAGGAGTTCAAGACCGGCCTGGGCAACATGTTGAGACCCTGTTTAAAAAATTAAAAAATTAAACCAATAGCATCTTTTATGAAATAGGGAAAAAGACTATTCTGATTGGATAAGTACAATGGCATTATCTATATACTAAACAACATAGATTTCACCAACATAAAATAAGATGCTCTGTGTATGTATGTATACCTAGAAGATATTCATGGGAACACATGATTTAGTTGGGAAATTTAAAAGAACCTGAGGGTTGCATATAAACTCCTCACACAAAAAGGATCAAATGGACTTTAGAAACGCAAGTCAGTTTCATGATAGGAGAATACGAAAATCCTATTACCTCCTTTATTCCTGCCCTCCTGCATCAAGAAGCAGCCCTCATTAACAGCACAAGTATTGACTGTATTCCAATGAACTTACTCAGATAAACACAATGTGGTTTTCTTTTAAAATAAGACTTTACTGAATATATCAACAAGGTACTGTATAGTGTAGAGTGAAGTTTGTCATTAACAAAGTGTGCGACATGGTAGGTCTCAGAGGATGTGTGATGCAGAATCTTCCAGCCCCTTGTCAGAGAGAACACACTAAACAGAAACCAGAAGCAAATCAGCATATGGTTCAAACAATAACAAATCATCAGGTTAACTTTCAGTGAATATACACTAGTCCTGTGAAGGACACTCAGTTGGCGATGCCTTCATCTTGCCTTTAACAGTTATAAATCTTACATTCCAGGGACACCTTTACAAACGCCCCTGTGTGTGTGTTTGTGTGTGTGTGTGTGTGTGTGTACACGCACGTGCATGTTTGATATTAATTTTAAAATGCCTGTTGCAATGGTCTTGCTTTGTGCTCTTCTGGTGGGTGTGCAGCTAGAAAAAAAAAAACTATAGTAAAAAAATCTGATTTGTTATAACAACAGTATGAGACATGTACAAAACTCTTTCTCCACAGTGACAAGCATTCGCCACTGCTAGAAACTCTGTTTTGCCCCTGCTGAAGAAAACAGAGAAGGATGTAGGTTATACCTTCTTAGCATTCATATTTTACTTTAAAAAGAGCATCAGGCAAGGTTTGACAAGACCAAGAACTGTTTTGTCTTGTGTATCTTTTTCCCTTTGGGAAACTGTTTTCTGCTTTGCTTTCTCATGCAGCTGGAATGGTAAGTCGTGAGCAAAACTGCTATTCTCATGTTCTAAAAGTTAAAATGTCATGTCTCCTTGTTATAGGTTAGAGAAAAATGCTATAAGCAAAGACACCAATGGAAATTAACCACATCACTTTTCAAAAGCTGCAATGACCTCTGCAGCCGAGATCTGCTGATCAAGTGAAGCATCCACTCCCTGCAGACTACAATATTGCCTGGTGTTCAGAATGGATGCTTTGCTCGCAGCATGAAGAAGCTGTCCTCCCCTGTGGGGAAGGAAGTTCTGATTTGTGTAAAATGACTAAGACCATTATGACAGGTGCTAGTCGAAAATGGAGCTGTAATAGTAGCTACTTCATTAATACTTTTTATCAGACTGGTCACATTATACTTTTTGTTTAACCTCAGGGAAAATGTCTAATATATTTTCAACGAACATCCAGATAATTAGAAATTGCATTATTTCTCACAGGGGAGAATGTTTTTCATTTGATACACAAGGAAAATAGGCAGGGGATACATTCCTTGTATCTGCCTGCAACTGTCCCACGTAGTGGGCTGCTAACGCGTCTGACAGTGTTGGAAGATAGCCCAGAGTCTCTCTATAATCAAACATACCTCCCTAAACAAGCAGGTATTAATAACCACCCTGGCTATAGACAACTGTCAATATATCCTTGTGATCATGACTCTGCCTCTTCCTTTTCAATGTCTTCTGTCAGTGAGAGTTAGTGACCAGATTCTATGTGAATCACCTCATTTGGTCAGGTAGCATTAAGCTCTTTATCAGCCAGTGAGCACAGCTTTTTTTCCATGGTCTTGGCCTGCACTCTCAACCTTGACTCTTGGCTAATCATCTCAAAATACATCATAATGACAGCAAGAGAGGCCCAAACACAGAGCAGATATATCAGCAAAAATACATTCCCGTGACAACAAATGCCAATCAAAGCAGAATCCCCCAGGGACAGTGGTTCAGCAATTTTCATAAGACACATTAGACATCACAGATTCCATCACGTGCTTTCTATCCTGGTGCAGGTGAGGTTGTAACCAATGGGAGATAGATTTCAATCTTAGCAGTCTTTGTCATGTTGTGCACAAGATGAAAATAAAGCCTATTCCTAGATTCAATCTCTTCAGGAACACCTCCAGCAAAGGGACCCTGTCAGACCATCTTAAAGCATTCCATACGACTGTCTCCACTGTACCACTGAAGCCCCAAATAATTCTGTAAACCCTATAAGAAATGACAGAAACTCTTCATCCTTGTTCTTCCTGGCCCAAAGCAGTTTCAGCAGCCAAAAATGCCACTGGCGGTTAAACATACAATACAAATAAATGAGAATGATTATTTTGTGAATAACAAAAATAAAAACCCTCAAAAGTCAAAGTACCATCATTTGAATGCACGGTTTTATCTACACAGCCAAGGGGAAGAGGACAGTGGAAAGGAATTATCCAGCCAAGTACACAAAACCCCCATGTCGTTGTCTTGATTTTCAGTGTCTTACTGCTACACTGATCATCTTCACAAACTCTTTTCCCTTCCCTGTGTGGACCTAACTTTAAAAAAATAACAGCCAAAACCCTCTAGCTAATAGACTAAAACGGAAACCAGAGTCACTTTAGAATTAATTTAAATTAATTCATAGCTAAGTTCAGCTCTACTGGCTGCACAGTTTCAACTCTTGTGTCTACGACTTACAGCTGCAGTTGTATTTTCTGCTTATTTGGAGGGACAAGGGAGATTAAAACATATAAGTTGGGGTACATTATGAAAGAGAATAAAGCTCTTACTATAAAGAAAAAGTTGCATAGCATTTTATACCTAAACTTTTACAAAGAAGACACATCACAGTTTTATTTTGCTGAGAGAGAGAGAGAGAGCAAGTAAGATGATTGTGACATTTTCTTCATGGGTCTCTGTAATAATGGCCAGTGGTGAAAGAAATATGAAGCACAGAGTGAAATGTTTAAATATGATTTTAAAAAGACTTTTTTTCTTAAGGGAGTCGTTTTTGATAATGTATGTGATCCATAGCCCTTCTATATCTAAGGATGGAGAAGATTAAATTACGTGTTTTCTGAAGATGTTGCCTCAAAAATCTCTAGAATTAAGCATGGACATCCCTCTCTTTTCTATGCCCTACTCTGTGACGATTAGGGGAACAAGCCTTTACTCTCTGACTTGTTTGTTTTTCATGGGTTGTCCTGCTAACATAAGACTGGGTATCCCTCCACAATTCTCAAAGTAGAGGAACATCCATGATGGAAAAGGAACAAATCAAGTTTCAAAAGTGGAACAGGATCAATGTCAGTCCAAGGTGGAAACCATGTATTGCTTTCAAAATACTTCATTATTTTGGCCATCTTTGATGTGTCCTTACAGAATTATTAGCAGTGAAAATTAGTATGCATTTACAAATGTATAAGTACATACGGATATTTTGTGCAGCCAAGACTGGCATCCATAATTTTCCTTGAAATACTGAGCAGAGGGAGAAAAACAAAGGTGGCACAAACAACTAATTATGAAAATATATGGGAGATGATTGGAAGACAAGAGTTTGCCAGGGGATAAAAGATATTACTTCAGGCTATTTCAACATGATACTGACAAAGTCAGCTGACGTAACGGAACCACTGATCAATTGTTTTTGTCTAAATAGCAGTTAGGGTAATTTTTAAATAAGACATTGTATTTTCCAAATATTGATCACCTGTTGGTCTAAATATCATGTTGACATAGCCTCAATGAATCTACCCAAATAATTCTCGTTATCAAAAATAATTCCATTCAATATAATTCTTCCCTTTATTTTATTAGCCTCTTCTAAAAAAGTATTCTAGAATATATCTCTGTTGAATGTGATTCAACCTGACATCTGATTTGAATAGTAACACTTTTAAAGGGAGTTTTCTCTCTACAACATCAGGTCGGTCCCTGAAGATGATCGAAATCAGACTCAAGTCTCTTAACTCTGTTATCACATAGGGGCAGGGAAGCACAAAGCGTGATTTTTAAGTTCCCAGTCAGAAAGCCAACCCCTGTGTTTTCAGGTTTTTTCAAATTTCATCTCAATTTTCTTGATTCTGTCAGGCCGGGTTAACCTATCTCATGGGAACTGACTTCCTCCTGGTGTTTCCAGCATTCCCCACATTGGGTCAAATCAGGGTAACTACCTCCATTCTTACATGCTAGAATTTTTTTACCTGTCTTCCAGACCTGGAGGCATAGAAATCGTGTGAAAATATCTGGGCCATTTCTTGTTTTACCCATATTATTCCTTTCACCCTGATGAGTCCATTTAATCCGCCCTTTCATCTAACCACCAGGAATTTATTCTGACAGCTTCAACAGCAAAGTGGTTGATGTGTATCCTAAGGAAGAATCACTCGTTCTTTTGCCTTGGCATTGGGTTCTCATTGTACAACCCTGTACAGTACTTCAGCAACTATTTTTTTTTTAAGATTTAAAAAGCAAAGAGTTACAAAACTGTTTGTAATTAACTGGAAATAGAAAAGATAGCACTTTTTTTTAAATCCCATTATATAGTACACCGTATAAATTACAGAGTATTCAAATGCACAAATGCATCTGTGTAACATTTATCAAATGTAATCTGCGTGTCTTTATGTGCACACACGAGTGTGTTCTCAAGAGTTTAATTGTCCTCCTTGATAACACTGGGCCCCTGGCTGTCACGTATGGCAGTGCTCCAGGTCTGGCACGCTGCTGTTGCAGTATCGCATGTTGTTGGGGATATGGCAGTCTGTGTAATTAATGCCCCCATTTGGGGTGTAAATGGGCTGCAGTCTGAAATCTCCTTTAAGGAGCTGATCGTTATTTAAGGAGACGATCTGAAAACTGGTTTCTGTCATCTCCAGGATGGAGTTGTCCTTCTTGGTGCCCGCCTCGCAATAATCATCTTTCCGCCGGCCCCGGTTGTATTTCCACTTCTGGGAGGTGTAGCGCCCCTTTTTGTGCATGTGCCAGCAAAAGACGCTGAGCAAGACCACGAGCACAAATATCACAGCGCCCCCGATCAAGCCCGCCAGCAGAAAGGGGGAGCCCATGCTGTGGGATGTCGTCTGCTCGTGGCTGGACGCGGTGTTGCTGCCGTTGTTCAGATAGGAGGCATGGGTGGTGGCCTCTGAACAAATGGTGTCTTCTACGGCGCGGTAGTTAAAAGCATCCAGTGGCACCAAACAAATCCGGTAGGTGGATCGGGGCTCTAGATTAACCAGGCTCAGGTGTTGCTTCTCACCGCTGACTATGCGCTCCTGAACGATGCCCCCTACTAAACTGTGGCCCATTTTCACCCAGGTGAGTTTGTATGCCATCACGGTGAAGAGAGAGAGCCAGCTGACTTGAATGGAAGTATCATTCACAAAATGGATAGAGAGCTGGATTCGTTCAGAAATAGGTGGGGTCACTCTTTCTCTGCCATCCCAGTCAGGAATCGTGGGAAGTTTCGATGTGGTAGGAGTTTGAGGCGTGTAGCTTCTGCTAGGGTTTGGAATGGAGAGGGTGGGAGGCTGAGTGGTCGGAGAAGCTATACTTGGGGCTGGGGTGAAGAGAGGCAGGCCGGGGGTCGTGGTGGGACACGACAAAAGATTCATATTTAATTCCCTGACGGCCATTCCCCGGACTTGTTCAGGACCTTGGCACATGAAACCTCGCACATTGAGAGATGAAGGGATATATTTGAGCCATTCCGTGACCCATTTAATACTGCAGTCACAAAACCAAGGGTTATTCCGAGCAGTGAGCTGCTTCAGGTTGGAGAGATTATCAAAAACCCCTTGAGTCAGCATCCGCAGTTGGTTGTTGGATATATCCAGCCGTTCCAGCTTGCGGAGATTTGAGAAGGCTGTCAAAGGGATGTGGTTTATCTGGTTGTCCTGCAGATACAGCCTGATCAGATGTGTACCTGGGAGATCGGGAGGAGGGTGAGACAGCGAATTACGTACGATTGAAAATTCCTTGAGCTTAGTGAGATGGCTGAAGGTGCCCTCGGCGATACCCTTGTTGGTCAGGAGGTTCCCGTCCACAATAAGACGCTCCAAGCTCGTGAGATTCTGGAAGGCCATGTCTGATATGACAGCAATTCGATTTTCATCTACTCTCAGCTCTTGCAAGTCCACTGGAAGCCCAACAGGTACACTGCTCAGGTGATTCTTAGACAAAAACAACAATTTGAGGCTGATAGCCTCCCGGAAGGCCCCGTCTTCCACCCCCACTGTGGATATGGAGTTGTCATCCAGGTGCAGCTCTTCGAGCTTCAAGAGCTGGGCAAGAGCGGCCCGTGAAATGGTCTGAATATTGTTTTCCTGCAAATGGAGAACTCTGACGTTCTTGGGAAGGTTCATGGGGAATTCGTCCAGTTGGTTGCCGTACAGGTAGACCGTGTGCACCGACTGAACATTGTGCAGTTCTGCAGGAAATCCAGCATTATTAATTTGGTTATTGTGGAGGTAGAGTACGGTTACGCCCTCCGGGATCCCAAGAGGCACTGAGGTCAAGCTTCGCTCATTACAGTAGACAAAGTTCCTGTCGCAGCGGCACACACTAGGGCAGGCCAGGAGTTTGGACACCTGCGAGTAGAGCCCCAGGGAAATGATAAGCCAAGACTTCAGGAAAAATGCCCCATGGCTGGGCCACTTTGTGGTCTGTAGGCCCATTTCTGAAGTACAGAAATAAAATACAATGTGGTGGGGAAAATAAAAAGAAAAAAAATAAACAGCAAAATCAAGATGACTGGACGGGGTTCTGTCAAAGTCCAGAACTCCTGCTAGAGAGAACGTCCTGAGGGCGTATGGTAAAATAATCTCCCAGCTGTCCCTGGTCTTATCAGCTTGTGTTGCCCTCTTTGCTGCTGTCCTCCATGTGCGGAAAAATTCAACGGGGAGAATTTTCCACACTGGCAACGGGCGATGGCAAGTTATCAGCCGAGTCAGCACAAGCCCAAGTGGGCAGGCAAAGCTCTCTTCTTCTTTTGTAGTTCAAGCCAGGCTTGATTAGCCTACAAACTTCTTGGTTAAGCTCAATCTGCAATCTGTAGTAGGGAAAAAAAAAAGAAGAAGAAATGGTCAGTTAGGGGTAATAATGAAAGAAATGCCAGCATGACCCCGAGCCTTTCAAAAACAATGAGATTGGGACAAAATGTTAAGAGGCAGGGATGGCATTAAGTGGCATTTCAAATAACAGTAATTTAGCTGAAAAGGTATTCAGGAAATAATATAGTAACTTCAAAACAATATCATGCTGTTACCTGTCACTATCAACAATCAAATTGTGAATTTTATATCCCAATCAGTACCTTCTCTTTTTATCTAATCTTTATCTATTTGCATATCCAAACACTTAATTGTAACAGGCACACTGCTGAATCTAGTCAATCAGTTAATGACAATTACCTACAAATCCTACTGGTCGTGATCTTGTTCCAAGGTGGAGGTGATGACTGACAGCTAGCAAAAGTGAAGGGAAAAATGTGAAGCCCTGCATAGTTATGTATTTTACAAATGCAAAATGGAGACGAATAAAGTCACTTAAAAAGATGCATCCTTACTGAAAAATTATTCCAAGTGGATTATATTTCCAAATACATTTACTATATATGAACTTTCATATACTAGCTATTAAATAACTGTAGCTGAATAAGTTGCCATTTCCCTTTAAAATGTATTTTAAAACTCTGATACAAAAGCTTATTCATGCCTAATGGAAAATTTTAGAAAATAAAATATAAAGAATACAGTATAATGGTGATAAAGATTGTTCATTATATAATCATCCAGAGGTAGCTGATTCGATTTGCATACTTACTTCCCTTTTTTCTATACATATACTTAACAAAATTGGAATCATTATTGATTTTTCTCTTTGTTATTTAACATGTCATAACCACATTACCACATAATTTTAAAAAATTATTCAAAGAAAAAAATTATTTAAAAAAAAGGAGTATAAACGTAGTAAGCAGAAACATGTATGAAGGCAGAAAGACTTTTTTCTTTCCCACTTCTCGTCTCGCTTCCTCTTTATCTTCCTCCAAAATAGCTTGCACTCAAGCCACTGAGGAGAATGACCAAGCTCCAGCCCACAAAACATTTCCACTTATCTCCTCCTTTGGGACCTCTAGGTCCAGATGAGATACACCATTGTGGCCCCTTGAAGAGTTGCCAAGCTCACGACTAGGAGTACATTATTTTTCAACACTACCGCCCTCCTTCCGACTGTGCTTTCCTGCTTTTTATAAGAGGTCTTTTAGCCAATTTTGAAATGACAGAAGACACAGTTGAGGTAGTCAAGGCAATCCACAGATAGCAATCGTGCCTTCTTGCATCAGAATGTATTCCATCTGTTTTTAGATTGGAGAGGTAAAGAAGTTAATTGAAAGGTGCCAGATTTGATTTCCCTATAAAATAAGCTAACAAGACAGAGCATGGCAAGCTGTGAGTCTCCTAATTCTCACCAATACACGGAGACTGAAACAACTTACATTTAAAAGCGCAGAGGAACTATTTGAAATTGCTCCCTTAGCTATCTTTAGAAATATAATTAAAAAAGAAAAAAAGAACACTGGAAGTGTTATTTAAGTATCAAGGATATTGTAAATGTGTTCTATAATTTAAAAGATTGGAAGCCAAAAAAAATGGCTTCAATGGTCAGAAATGCTAAAATTCACTTTTTATTGTTTAGGAAATATAAGGTGTGTGGGTGGGGATCTTTTTTCAGGTAAAAACAGAGAGATGTGATGCTTTATTAAATATCAAGCATGGCTGGGCTCGATTTCACATGGTGGCTTACACCTGTAATCCCAGTACTTTGGGAGGCCGAGGCAGGCATATAGCTTGAGCCCAGGGGATGGAGACCAGCTTGGGCAACATAGTGAAACCCCATCTCTGCTAAAAATTAGAAAAATTTGCCAGGTGTGGTTGGAGGGACCTGTAGTCTCTGTCACTCGGAAGGCTGAGGTGGGAGAATCTCCTGAGCCTTGGAGGCACAGGTGGGCCAAGATCATGTTACTGCACTCCAGCCTGGGTGACAGAGCAAGATCCTATCTCAAAAAGAAAAAAAAAAAAAAAGTCAAGCATTATTTAATTTTTTACAAGACCTAATATACATTTTGCTGCTGAAAAGGGAGCCAGCCATTCCCTTTAAAAGAAACATCTCTATAAACTTAAAAAATAATTCATATAACTGAGGTGGCATTCGAAAAATGCGTTTAATGCTATCAGTCCGATGCCATCCTTAGCTTAGATTTCAAACCATCTTAATGTTTCCTCACATCTGGGTACTCAAGTGTGGTCCTTGGTCCAGCAGCTTGATCCTGAGATGATGAGAAGGTAGAAAATCTAAACCGCAGGCCCAGAATCTGCCTGTTGGCGAGAGTCTGGGGTGGGTACATTCAAGTTTGTGAAGCACCATGAATATCTTACTTAATCATTCATGTTTTAATTTGTTAAATGTAAAATAGATGCAAGAGCTCTTTTGAGAAGAGTTAAGGCATAAGGCATACTAATCACTTTTGTCCCCGGGAGAGAGTCTCAAATAACATCTTCCATGTAAATTACATCTTCTGGGTGGAGCAGTGCCGTGACTATATATGTCAGTCGGCCTTAACAGAAAACGACTATCTGAATGACAAGTACTAATGTCTAGTAGGACCTTAAAGAGTTACTTGTCATCACAGGAACCCACTTTTGTAAAACACTCAAGCATAAAAAACTGGTGCTATTAATAATTACTTCCACAAGAGCTAGGAAAGTTAGACTAAAGAATAAAATATAATACAGTTTTTTTAGGTTTTGTTTTTGTTTTGTTTTTGATACAGAGTCTCACTCTGTTGCCCAGGCTGGAGTGCAGTGGCGTGATCTCGGCTCACTGCAACCTCCGCCTCCTGGGTTCAAACCATTCTCCTGCCTCAGCCTCCTGACTAGCTGAGATTATAGGTGCCCTCTGCCACAACTGGCTAATTTTTGTATTTTTAGTAGAGATGGGGTTTCACCATGTTGATCAGGCTGGTCTCGATGTAATATGTTTTTGAGTATTCTACTGGAATCTTCAAAGTGTGATAGAGGCAACCACTGAAGAGAATGTCCTAAAGGTGAAAAACAGTAGCACCAGGGTCCCTAAGTTTCTAGGTAAAAAGAATAGATGCTTCTTGCTTGTCTTTTAGGCCAAGTATTAGGGGCTAAGAAACAAATCAGTACTTGAGGATGATGGAGTTTACTTAGAGTTCATCAGCTAACAGCTAGAGGACATTAACACTGGGAGTAAACCAAGTAGGCAGGGATGGGCCTAGAAACTATTATTATGCATCCAAATTGTAAATTTTCCACTTGCCTGAACTGTGTCCTCTGCAAGGAGAGAATAGGCCCCCATCAGCCAACCCTTCACCCCTGGGCCTTGCTCTCTTGCAGGCATATTTTACTCATGAGTGGCTCTTTTATAATTACATAAGAAGATGACGTGGTTCCGAAGAAAGCGCCTAGTAAGATTACATGGGGCAAACTGTCTCTGTCTATACACCTTAATAGGAGAAGAGTCCCATCTAGACCACAATGTGTTGATGGACTATGACAAGTTCAATTTTGAATGAAAACAAAACTCTCAGAGCTTTCTTTGAGCTTCTTGGGAATCCCACAAAATAACAGCATATAGCAGATTTGTTCTGTTCCTGTATCAACAACCCCTTACACCTATCAGTGAATGTACCGTATTTTTGTTTCAATCAGTGCAAACACTAGTAAAATTACAAACACCTAGGCCATAATAATTTTTTAAATTTAAATTTTCTTTGCATTTCTACCTGTGGTTCCTACTGAATAATGAAGGTAGAGATCCTTTTAGGCTTTAAGCTGGGAACCATATTTAAGGAGAAAGTATAATGGTCAACAGGCATAGATCCTGAGTTCTTGTCCTACTTCTACCACCAGGTAGCAGCAGGATCCTGAGTACACATTACTTTTTTCAAGTCTTAGTCTCCTCATCTGAAAAATGATAATAATAGTTCCTAACTCACAGCACAGTTGGTAGGGTTAAATAAAATAGTACTCGCAAAAAACGTATGTCTGTACATGGCAAGAACATAATAATGCTGATTATTGTCTATGTAATTGCTATTATTAATGATATCCAAAGAGGTGAACTCCACCATGTAGAACAAAATAAATTTAGCCTTTACCTGCAAAAATCTATGCACTTCCAACTACCCCAGTTTCTCAGCCTAGGCATTATTGACACTTTGTGCCAGATAATTCTGTGCTGTGGGGCTGTGGTGTGCATCCAAAAATGTCTCCAGATGCGGCCATATACAAGTCCCCTGGAGTGGGAAAATTGCCCCCTGTTGAGAACCGATAATCTATACACACCTTCTTACAAGTGCTTTAGAAAGCTGGCATTATTGCCACAATTTTCTAGAGGAAATTTAGGTAAATTTCTAATAACCATAACCTTCTCCCACGGACATCAAAAAGCATGAAAATGTAACATACTTTCCATTCCTTTATTGAACCAGTACATATGGAGCCCTAGAATGAGGATACAGCTGTATACAGAGCTGATGTGGGTTTCGGTCTCATGAGGCTTAGAAGTTAAGTGAGGGGAGAGAAATGAGTAGGTGGGAAATTAGGGTTCTATGTAAAGAGTTCTAACACTAGAACATCAGGTAATTGTGATCCTGTGGAAGGGGCCTACTCCAACCCATGAAGTATCAGGAAAAACTCTGCAGGGAAAGGGTGGCTCTGTGAAAATCGGAAGCACAGAGAGACCAGACCCACACCAGGGAAGAAATGTAGGTTCTGCATTCAGATTCAAGCTGCTCATAACGTGAAGCTAGAGATGAATCCCAGCTCAGCTGAGAGAAGGAACAAAATGTTAACTGCACAATACTTTCTCACAACTCTGTCTGCTTCTCACTGAGGTACTCGTGCTTCTAGAAAATAATAAACAAACTCGTGTTTCAAAATCACTGGGTATTTCAGTTATAAGCCTAAACGTTGGTGATAAAAAAAAAATTGCTTTGCAAGATACATTTCAAATATCGAA